AGATCATGATTGTTGATTCTATTCATCCGATGGTCCAGATCTGTGCATTCTGGCACACAATAGTTACTGGAAACAATATAACCTAACCCTATATATATATATATATATATATATATATATATATATATATATATATATATATATATATATATAAACATGTTTTATTTCCAAAAGACAAGATGTTATCGAGAATATATATTGCATACGAAAGTTCTCATGTAGTAGTTATGAATCACATATGATTACTAGATAAAAAGCTTATATAGTGAAACTTTAGGTTACACACGATAATAACCGTGTGTTTAATTGCATCCCCCCCCCTTCTTAAAAGTGTATAGAAAACATTTATCAAACATTTAAAAGCGTAGTTTATAGGGGTATGAACTCACCTGATAGATCGAAGAAGGTGAGATGAAAACCGAGCAAAACTTTGACTTGAGAAAGCGGATTTTCTCGGGATTCTCGGGAATCTCGGGAACGTAAACTTCCTTCGGGGCTTGGGAACCCTCACATCCCTTTTATAGGAGCTGGGAACCGCCTCGGTACGCTGGGTGTATGGGGTTACGCGGGGCGTACCCGTGTGTCATGCGTGACCGCATCCTCGACTGCTGGAACTTCGGACGGGACAAGACATAGGGGAGTAGAGGGGCGACGTGGACGTTCCGAGGCCTAGTCCTCGAGTACATTGGGCGTAACTCGGATTGGCCTGGTGACTCCTACTTCGGATAATACCGGATTTTTATTTACATTTATATTTTAATTATTTAGTAAACTTCAAAAATTCATATCTTCTTCATACGAACTCCGTTTTCGACGTTCTTTATATCCATGCGTAGGTGAGACTACGCTCTACAACTTTCGTTTAGACTCCATCAGCAAATTTTGAAATTATTTTTATTATTTATTTTTAAAAGGTCGGGGTAGGAAAAGTTTGTTAGAAATCCATAACTTCGTTATCCGATGTCTGTTTTTGCCAGACTTTGTACTGTTGAAATACCATTGTTGAGACCTTCGATTCTCATTTAGGTCATTCTGGCCAAAAGTCGCTCGCTCTTTGTTTCGAGTTTTTAGCTATCTATCTTTATACCGAACTCGGAAAAATCATAACTTCCTCATACGAAGTCAGATTTGGACGTTCTTTTTATTACGCTCACAGTTTAATGATATCTAACATAGTAGGTAACCAAATACAGACTTTTATACATTTTATTTTCAAAGTTAATTTCATTATTTTCAAAAGTGGTTACAATACTTGGCTTTTTAAGTCATTACATAGAATCAAAATATCGGGTTGTCACAACATAAGACCAATTACTATAAAATAACTGTAAAATACTTAATTTGGATGGCTAATGTTTAATTTGTAATTCGATCTCATGGTTATAATTTATCAGGTGGTTAGTTGACCAGTGACTAAGTGAATATACCAATGATGGTTGATTACTATCTAATGATATTAACCAATTTGAAATTTGGTGTCATATACAAGGATATTGTCATTATTGGGTAGCTAAATTATTTGAATTGGTTTAAAAGGTCCTTAATGTTACTTTGTGACTTTCTAGGAGCATAATGTCGATTTTTTCGGGTTTAAATATTCATTTTTAGAAAATGAAGGAGTAGCTCGGTTACCCCTTTGCCTTTTCATATGCTTCTCAAGGGGGTTGCCACCTACGCTTGATAAAAGACCCATTCCTCTGTCTCTTTCTCTCTACCATGATGACTCAACCACCGACAAAACATATGCTCGATGTAACGCCCACGTTTCCATCTAGGCTTAGTAATCAAACATGTAACATTTGTGGTCAAGTCATGTAGTCATTATGTGAATGAATAAGACAAGATTATTCATATATTTTATGCTTATGTGTTTTATATGATATTAAGATATATTATATAATAACATAAATAAGATTATAAAATACACATAAAAAATAAAAGATCAATTAGGGAAAATAATCTCAACCTAGTTATAGTATTCATAATTAGGATCATGTACATATCCAGAACGCCTCGATCCGACTTAGAATGGAGAAGTTAAAAAGTGTCAAAGTCTCGCGATAAAACCAACACGGTTACGGATAGCATAAAAAAGTGAATTTGGGATATATTGCTTTTTAGCTTAGGAAGTCTAAACAGAACTCATAGATGTCGTAAAAGCAAATCCGTGCATATAGGTATCGTCTAAATATTACTTCACTAGAGGAAGTTATGATTTTTCTAAAATTTAGCGCGACAGTGTGCGAACTGATATCAGATTTTAGATCGATAGATTGTTAGCCAAAACAATCTAAATGAGAGTTGGAGATCTCGTTGTTAGGATTCCAACGATATAAAAACCATCGAAAACGGACGTCGGATGTGAGCGTTATGCATTTTATACGAGATTTAATAGGCTAAGAGTGTGTAAATAAAATAAAGTCAAAATTAGCTGACGGAGTCTAAAGGAATGTTGTAGATCTCATTGAGATCTTTCCGTGGATATAAAGAACGTAAAAACCGGAGCTCGTATGAAGGAGTTTTGTAATTTTGAAAATCTGGAAAACGTCAAACACACACGAACGTCGTGCGTAGCTTGCGCGTGAAATCAACCATGTAGCCCCACCCAGATCTTGCCACGTGTCGGCAACCCAGTGGATCGACATCAACCTTATGTGTGGCGTGCCACCTGTTGCACCCTCCAATCAATATCTCTATGAAAATTTTGATAGTTAGCCCTATTTTCTTCATTCTAGCCTGTGTCGAAGCCCTGCGACACCCTCGAGTACTCAACTTGCCATAATCTTCGTGTAGGAAGGGCCTAAGTCAATATTCTGCCAGTTTAGATCCTGATTCTCGTCCATTGTACTCTGTAAGTGAGCTATACTTATGTGTAGGAAGGACCTAAGTCAGTATGCTGCCATAATCTTCGTCTAGGATCTTATAATTAAGATTTATCAACGATTCCAAGTTGTTATGTTGGTTAATTTACTGTGAGAGAGATGTCTAGAATGGTTACTTCGACTTGGTTGTTGGATTTCAGAAAGACTATATATCAAAATGATCCCGCCTCTCGACTGTCCTGCCTGATTGATCCTTACTTGTTTGATCTTGAAGTAGACTTTGGAATTGTTGAGGAATATAAACTCTTAAGACAATAGTTCCACGTAGTATGAAACTAGACTAAGATGTAGCGTTATGTACATTTAGGTCTTTCGAGAAAGGTGTAAGGAGAAGCTTTGCCCGATTCACCAATCACCAGGCACTTTGTCAAGTGAGTGTGTAGTTGTTATCAATAACATAATATCAACTTAAAAATATTCATATAATAAATGTTGCTTGTATTATCTGTGTTATGTGCTATTTGTAAGGATAAGATAGTAACATTTGGATTAGGAATTATTGTAGAAATCAATTGTCTTTAGATATAGGTCTTGCTTAAATGAAAAATATGACTTATAAAGGATTACTTAGTGTCGAATGGGCTTAAAATCAATTAGGTCTCATAGTTAGGTTAGAGTGTGGGACTAGATCGGAGTGTAATCATCTACGCTTGGGATGACCATAAATGGTGGGTCCCGATCAGACAACCGGACGGTATGCCTGGGTCATCGACCAGAGTAAATAACCAACACTTGGCTATTCTAGGCGATCTTGTGAATTACGTTGCTAGCATGACTTTATAACCCATGGGTGTAGATGAAATGAAAAGCCATATTCATCAAAATTTCTGAACATTGGTTGCCTTATATGACTTACACTAGCCAAGGACTCCCCTGGCAGGTGTAGTCAAACAATTTCTTAGACAGTTTATCCAGTAAGGTGATTCTTCTAGATGATTGTCAAATTAGGATATGTGAGGATCGGTTGGGATTGGGTAGATGGTCTTACGGCATGTTATATATTTACACCTGATATATGTCTTACATGGATGATATTTTATCATTAAAATGCTATGGGTTTGAAAACCCTACATATCTCAACAGGTTTCCTAAACCTGACCCATTCATTATATTATATCATAGGTAATGGAGCCAAAGTTGAAATTACACAGTTAGGATGCTGAGTGAAATAAATGATAGTCTTGCATTAGTTATTTTAGGGCCTTCTTATTTATGCTGTAACGTATGTTCGAATATAATCGAATGACATCCCGAAGGTTTTAATAAGATAACTTTTGTTATTTCAAAAATATGTATCTAGATGGGAACTTTTGTATTTCAATACTTAAAAGCGTAAAGAAAATTTTTAAATTGCATATGAAAAATGGGGGATATCACACTCGATTAGTTTAATAAAATTCATCATGAGAATAAACTCGATTTGTTGGTTAATAAGAATCTGAAAAGCAACTATAGTAGAATTTAGCTTGAAAAGATGGTTCGGATGACGTTGTTGTGTATACAGTATACGGTATTAACCGAGCCAACGACATCCAAGGGTAGTAAGGAAGCTTGAAGGTGATGGATTGGCGGAGAAAAGAGAGGCGACGAAGAGGGTTGAATCAAATAATGGGTGATAGAACGAGTTCTTATTGTCATAGTGGTAATCTGATCTTACATACGACTTGTCGAGCACAACTAAAAGAAACCAAATAAGCATGCAAATATGCATACGGTTCCCTCAAAAAATCAAGAAAACTATCTAAGGACCTTTTAAACCAATTAATATAACTTTGTTACCCAACAATAACATTATCCACCAATCGGCTTCTAGCCCAACGATATCTAGTATTATCATTCCTCATTGAAGTCAATGGTTCAAATCACGTTGAAGACATATGTGAAATAATTTAAAAGTAGTTTAATATATTTTCTGTTAATAAAAAACAATAACATTATCCATATTATTTATTAACTAATTAGGTACAACATGTTTTATAAAATGATTAGAATTTTAATTTTATCATATAAAATGGCCCATATGAAAAACCCGATCCGTAATTCTTAAAAAACCAAAGTGATACCAACTAGATACAAACGGCCCATAAGAGAAAAAGGCCCAAAATCTTGGCGCGTGTACTTGGTATTCCACTGCTCACTAGATTTTCGCTTGTTTGGTAGCAACATTCAAAGAGGAACCCCAACGCAATCGCCCGCTCTGTGACACTCTCCGAAATCGAAGAAGCAAAACCCTACGTGAAGCCATGTATGGGGGAGGTAAGTACTTCTCCACTCCAATTTTGTCATCTCAACTAAAGCAGATGTATATGTACACCAGTAAACCCTAATTCTGCACATTCTGCAAATGCTGGTTTCTTTTAGACGAAGTATCTGCGATAGTTGTAGACTTGGGTTCGCATACATGTAAAGCTGGTTACGCCGGTGAAGATGCTCCTAAGGCTGTTTTTCCTTCTGTAAGCACTTAAAACCCACTCTCGTTCTTCTCTAGTGTAATGTATGCTTGAATTTTCTCTGTAAACATGCTTGTTTTGTGGCTAAGGAGTTACCTTTTCTTACGAAGAGAAAGAAAGATAACATTTTACGACTGTTGACCTGTATAACCTGTGAAAGAAGACACAATTCAATCGTGTCTTTGAGGAGAACCAACGAGAATCCTCCAGGATTTTGTCGGGTTTGGATATTCCTCATTATTCCACACCGCATAATATGTTTATGGCCGATATTTGTCATTTAGGTATAAAAGATTCTATACTTTGGTCCAAACAACCAAATGCTCCCCATTCTCTTGAAGGCTAATTGCAACACATTTTGTTTGTACACAAAGTTCTTACTTTCCATGTTTTATACATTATAAATATTAATAGAAAATCTTAATGATGCTCTAAAAGTGTCATATGGAGCGTTGTTGAGTGTTCTTCTAGAACTTATATAGGGGTATTGAACAGTTGAAGTATGGTTATTTCTTAATGCTTATATGTTAATTTGACTGATTACATATGAAGGTCATTGGCTCAATTGATCAAATGGAAGTTGATGAGAATGATAACTCAGAGAAGAATAGTGAGCCTAAATCCAAAGGAAAACGTAAGTTATATGTAGGCTCTAGTGCAATGGGATATCGCCGTGATCATATGGAGGTCAGTGTTTTATATAAAAAAAAGATACTACTTGACATACTTCAATAAATTATACTCTGTAAGTTTGTAGTTCCATGCAATTTCATCAGGTGCTATCATCAATAAAAGATGGAATTGTTACTGATTGGGATATTGTAGAAAGCATTTGGGATCACGCTTTCAGGTAATCATCAATCTATTATGGAAATTGCTCATTTCTTTCCATTTCTTTGATATATTGTCATTGTTTTGTAGAGAATGCCTGTTGGTTGATCCTAAAGAGCACCCAATGCTACTTGCAGAACCTTCTTCCAACACTCAACAACAGAGAGAAAAGTAAGCAGTTACAGTATTTCCATTGTTGCTTTCATATGTCTTGTTTGAAATGTTTTCTCTTTACTTCCTTATAATGCTACTATAAAACATCTGTTACATTAAATATGACAGGGCTGCAGAGCTTATGTTTGAAAAATACCAAGCTCCAGCATTGTTTCTAGCAAAAAACGCTGTATCCTCTCTCCTCCCTCTTTTCTTACAAATCAATCTTGAAGGAAAACTGAAAATCATTGAGTTCATCTTGTTTCATATTTATCATATCATCTAATCTTGATTAACCTATTTTACTTCTAGGTTCTCACATCTTTTGCTTCAGGGCGTGCTACCTCATTGGTTGTTGATAGGTATGAAAACATATATATACTTTTTCTCTTCAAATTTCTTCCTTATTCAAGCTTTTTGATGTGGGAAAACTTACATGATGAAGTTAGAATTATGTAAAGATGTTTCCATTTTTTTGCATTTAAACCTTAGTTTCTATTTTGCATCTAGAGTTTCTTGATTTTTCTATTGTTACTATTACTTGTATGGGATGTGATACTTAAATTGGTTAATAATTAATTCTTCAGTGGTGGAGGATCAACTATTGTTGCCCCTGTACACGATGGCTATGTTCTACAGAAGGTATGCAATGATCCATTTTACAAATGGCTCTAAAGTGATGTTTCTTTTTGTCTTAATGAGCTTAATGTGTTAACCATTTAATCCAGACATCCATACATGCTTGTTTCTTGGTTTAATGTATCAAGACACCAACCCTTTACCTATTTTGCCCTTCTTGTTTTTTCCATTAAACGGATGAATAGTATTTAAAGACCCTGTTATATTTTTGTTTTTGGTCCCTTAAGTAATTTGTATGTTTGAATTTTGGAATAGGCTGTTTCAGCATCTCCAATTGGAGGAGAACTTCTTACTGATTGCCTAATGAAAAGCTTGGAAAGCAAAGGAGTTAAAGTAAGTTGAGATTTTATATTTACTACTGATTGAATTTACACTCTGTGAATAATCAAAGTGTCAAGCTGTATAATTATATGTTTTCGGATTTTTGCTTATTTAAAATTCAGATAAGGCCTCGATACTCTTTTAAAAGGAAGGAGGTTCGTCCAGGAGAGTTTCAGGTTAGCTTTAGCCTTATTTTTTGAATCTTTTTTTACCACATTCATTTTTTTTTACTAATTAAGCCATCATATTTATTTTTGATCTTTTAAGAAAACCATTTTTATCGGTTACCTGGTTTTGAAAAAGGGCAAAATACATAAAAACAGAACATGCTTTTCAACATTTTATCAATTTAGGCACTTAACTCTAATCAGTTTTTTTGATTAGTATAATAATATAGCGTATGAACTAATTAAAATATGTTCCTCACTATAAATTTCGTATAATTATGTGGCAATTTTCTATAAATTACGCATTGATGGCTTTGATGTTTACAGACTGTGGATCTTGATTTCCCTAACACAACCGAAAGCTATAGACTTTATTGCCAGGTTTGTTATTATTTGGATTGGAAATTCCTTTTCAAAATTGTTATAATCATAAATATTATTATCATTATTGTTATAATGATGATACATATTACTGTTACAGAGGGTTATTGCCAGTGACATAAAGGAATGTGTGTGTCGTGCCCCTGATACTCCATATGATGGTTTGTGTCCTTTTTTTTTTTATTTTTTTTATTTTTATTATTATTTTTTTTATAATCATATATCAGTTTATTACCAAATTTGTTGTCTTGATTTTTAATTTTTTTTTTTTATTTCTGATTTCAGACACTTCATATTCCAACATTCCCATGACTGCATATGAACTTCCTGATGGACAGTAAGCTCATTACCATTTTTTTTTTTGCTTTGGAATTTTATTATTTCCTGCAAGAGTAAATTACATGAATGGTCCCTATGGTTTGGGGTAATTTGCACGTTTGGTCCCTAACTTATTTTTTTTAACTCGGAAGATCCCTATTCTTTTTATTGTTACACGATTGGTCCCTATTTTTTGTTTTTGTTACGCGTTTGGTCCCTATCTTACGTAAAAAGACAGTTATTTAAATAGGGAAAAAATTGTAGGGTGGGTAAGGTAAGGTGAGGGGTGGGGTTGGGGGTGTGTTTATTTAAATAAATTAAAAAATCAAGGAAAAAATAGACTTTTTATGTAAGACAGGGACCATGCGTGTAACAAAAACAAACAGTAGGGACCTTCCGAGTTAGAAAAATAAGTTAGGGACCAAACACGCAAATTACCCTAAACCATAGGGACCATTCGTGTAATCTACCCTTCCTGCAATCACAAGTCATAAAGTGATGTATTTTTTGGTGTCTAGTTTTATTGCTTTTTAATTTATCTTGATTAACAGGACCATAGAGATCGGTTCTGACAGATTTAAGACTCCTGATGTTCTGTTTAATCCGTCTCTGATCAAGGTATTGTTTTATTGTTTCTATTATATTATATAATAATAATTATTATAATTATTTTGATTATGCAACTTTTTTTTTTTTGATCTCACAGACTATACCTGGAATGGAAGGTTCTGTAGATATTGCTTCTTCTGCTCGTGGCTTGCCACAAATGGTAAATCATCTCAAAACATTTTTACACAAATAAAGAAAGTAGATTGGTATTTAATATCCCCTTTATTTTTTTTTTGTTGATATTGTTTATTCAAGGTATGTGAATGTGTTGTTTTAATACAGGTTATAGAGAGCATAAATAAGTGTGATGTCGACATTCGAAGAGAATTGTTCAGTAGTATCCTTGTAAGATTTTAAATACTTTATTTGAGGGATTATTTTAATCTTTTTCTATACATAGAGAGAGTAATGTTGACTTGTTTTGTACATGGCAGCTTGCTGGTGGCACAGCCTCAATGCAACAACTGAAAGAACGCCTTGAAAAAGACTTGTTGGAGGTTCATTTTATACTCTCATGGGCGTTTATGTCTTTTCCACTTATGAGATTTAGTTGAAGTTTATTGTAGAAAATGTTGTAATTAGTAAAACTTGACTTGTAGGAATCTCCTCAAGCTGCTAGAGTTAAAGTATTGGCTAGTGGCAACTCAACTGAAAGAAGGTTCAGGTAACAACATTAACATGTCATATTGTCATATTTACTTTACTTTTTCATTCACTTATTATCCATTAGTGTGTGTGTGTGTGTGTGTGCGTGTGTGATTGTACTCTGCTTTTGTGGTTTTGACAGTGTTTGGATAGGGGGGAGCATATTAGCATCTCTTGGGTCTTTTCAACAAATGTGGTTTTCTAAATCTGAGTAAGTTTACTTAATCAAATTCATTATTGAACCTTTTTGTTTTGGGTTTAAAATTGTTGTAAAACTATTGTATATGTTTTGACAACACAGGTATGAAGAGCATGGGTCTTCTTACATTCAGAGAAAATGTCCTTAAATCTCTACTTTGGAGTTTGTTTGGCCAAATTAATTAATACTTAATAGACTCAAGTTGGTAATGTAGAAGAGGACTAGAACTTTATTTATTTATTATTACATGTTTCATGTTTAGCATTATGTTGTATAATGATATGATCCATGGTGATTTTATGTATGAATGAAAAGTTTTGTACTTCTATAAGTATATGTAGAGTCTATGAATAAGTTTCTGTCTTCCTCAACCTCCCACGTATATGTAGACTAATATGCAAAATTCCAATAGCTAATCAATTTGCATGACTACAATTGGGTTCTCTGAAATTACCAAAATGCTATTGTTTTTGGGAACAAAAAGTTTCGTAAAGATATGATCTTTGAAAATGTTGCTCTTTTTTCTTTCATCTAGTTAGTATTTAGAAACCCTAATATGTCTATAAGTTAGAATAACCGGAATAAAAATCCGATGGTTGCCATTACTTTGTAAATTCTTTGTTGCTAGTTTCTTGTTAATTGAAAATGTAGTCGTTAACATAAGTTGATACTTTAAAAGAGAGAAAAATTCATAAAACCAACTCGATCGCATGGTTTCTGAGGTTCAATAGGGTTATTATTGGACAATACGGCTATAATTAAACAAAATTGAAAATTGAATGATTTGGTTGGTAAACAGATAAAAAGCCCATTTTTTTTTAATGAAAAATAATAATCTAATATACGCCATTATTCTGCTTATATATCTAAATTTTTTCGTATTAAACGGGACTCTAGCCCTAAACATTTGGTTGATAGATACTTTCTCATCAACTTGGTGATACGACAATATATTAGGCCCCAAGATATTTGGACAACTATTATGTGACATAAACCATTTATATTATTATATATACACAGAAAAAGTACGTGCAACCCATCAAACAGATTTCATATTATTCTTTCCATTATTTAGAACACGAAAACTTTAGTTATATTAGTTATCTAAAATTTCACATTAATCATAAAAATTTTAAATAGACATAGTGGGTAAATGAGCAACAAACTACTTGGCAACCATTTTTTGGATAGCAAAACTAAATCTTTTAAAAACAACATATAATATGTAGTCATGTAATGTGTTCCCATTTTAGAAGCATGAAATTTCAAGCATGATATTTTTTAGAAACGATGTATATATAAAAACAAACAGACCTGACTAAGAGCTTTTCCAACCACAAACATCAAAATGGTGATTATTTAGCACAAAAATGGTGTTTGATTCCAATCAATTTTTAAAATAGTAGATAGTAGGTTTTAGATCCCTGCTCATTTGGCCTTTAAATTTAGTGTTAAAATTGAACCAACAAAAAATGGTATTAAATTTGAAGGTTGGTTGGAATATTCTTAACCTGGCTTCCAAAACAAAAAAATAGTGTAATATAGTGGATAATTGAAGTTGGCCTAAGAGAAGAAAAAAAAAAGTTATAAAGTTTTAAAAGGACAACAAACCCATTCGGTCCAATTATAAATGCCCAAATTACCCTTATAATTTATCTAGTTGAAGACCATGGTTATAGTGCAATCCGTCGTTTTTGTGGATAGTGAACTTGTTATTGAAATCTTGTCATTTCTTGTTTTCCATATGCGTTACTATAACATCCCATAAATAATAGCAATGAATATCATCCATTTTTTGAAAACGCCTCCAATTTGTCGCAAAACTGAGGACCTCTGAGTTGAAATTTTGGGAGGGGATGTCACACCATTTGAGGGTCCAAAACAACACATCCCGAATAAAAAGGCAACTCGCCAATAAATGATCGCTAGAATCAATACCATTAGAATCAACGCCTCTACTAATGAGAGCAATGGCAGAAGGTATACGATACATACAAGCTCTCCAAATAAACATAATCATCTTAAGAGGAACTTACTTCAACCATATCGTTGGGTTAAATGTGCTACAAGTGATATTGGAATCCGAAGGTCATTGATATAAAACTTACCACAAGACGCAAGTTTAGAGCTCCACAAATCAGTAGTATTAGAAAGAGAAATTTTCGAGGAGCGTTTGAATTTGCGCAAACTTCTGTACTCAGCCATTAAGATTGTAAACCGTTTATCTTTTTATATTAATTCAATATCAATATTTTTTAAAATTGGTCCCTATCACATCAACAATTACATTTTATACTTTTTTCACAAATATTTTATTATTTTTAACTAATAAATATTTATTAAAATGTATAGATATAAACCAAGATTCTAAAAACTTCGTCATGGCTCCAAGGTTTGTATCTGCTTTCAAACTTTACCAAAACGCCACCTTAACTCATATATGTGTATAAAATAAAATAATAGTTGAAAATACATATATAAAATACTACCTCCGTCCCAAATTGATAGTCCACTTTTGAATTTTAAAGTTTTTTTTTCTTCAACTTTGACCATAAATCTTTTTGTTTTTGATAGATAATACCTGATGCAAAATATATGAATGTATTGTATTTTAAATGTTTTTTCATTGTTATAAGTTTTATCAAGTAATATATAACACAAATAACAATATTTAAGGTCAAAGTTAAAGAAAAAAGACTTAAAAAATCAAAAGTGGACTATCAATTTGGGACAGAGGAAGTATTAATTATATACAAAATTGCCGTCTAAAGTCATGCCTTACAAACGACGTGACTCGCCAAGTTTCGAAAAAACTTGAAACTTAACATTGCCGTTAAGTCACGCCTTACGTTATTTAAAACCTTGATATAAACCATTAAGATTGTAAACCGTTTTAAACATGTAACATTGTTTTATATTTTTACATATGTATATTATTTGTTTACACATAAAACCTCGTTTTGGTGTTTGTGTAAATATAAAACGTGTGTTAAATATGAAAACTTCATTGCAAGAAATGTAATATTTTTTTTTTGAAACGGCAAATCTAACCTACTCCTAAACTACACCTTAAATCCACCTATGTTCACGACGGGATTTAAACCCTCAACCTCAAGGAGGGAGAGCAACACCGGATACCGCTGGGCTACAAGCCCTTTGGTGCAAGAAATGTAATATTATAAAATTAAATTTACATCTAAAATTTGAGAAAACATTAAGAATCAAATCAAAATTAACCTAATTCATCCATGGTATTTAAATATCACAAAATTTTATTATTTTATCTTTCTATTCTAATTTTAATAAATAAATAAGTTTATTTTTCTATTGAGAAGTGTCACAATATTAGAAATCTCTATTAGTATTCTATGTCACATATTATATCACATGCTAACCTTTTAATTCTCCATTTAAAATTTTAAATTTTAAATTTTCCACTCTAATAAAAATTAAAATAAAATTATAAAATGATATAATTTTATTTATTTATTTAAATCAACGATTATAATTTTATATAACTAAAAATATCTCTTAATTAATAATTTATTTAAAATAATTGATTAATAATTTTGACTTTTTATAAAGTTTAATTAATTTTATAACCGTGATTCTCATAAACTAGTTTAACAATATATTTCATCTTATTTAATATTTAATTATTTATTATGGTCGATAGCACTACCAAATTGATCTTTACTCTTTAGGACATTAAAAATCTTTGATTAAAATTTAAATTATCGTTTTTTACTTTAAAAAAAATCATTTGAACCATTCTAACTGTATTTTATTTGGAGATTTCGCGATATTTTATTTTATTAGCAAACATTGTTTCTAAAGTCATTGAATAAAAATTTCTTTGATCACTTATTAAATATATATATAATATATTTTTAATGAATTTATATCTATGAAACTTATTTTGTAAGATATCTTAATCTGCTCAAATTTGTTTTACATCATGAAATTTTTTATAATTTATTAAAATATCTAAAACATTAAATGATTCATATCATTCAAGAATAAAATATAATAACTTATTTAAATACTTTATGATCTCATTCCATAACAAACAATCGAAAGAGCAAAAGCAATAACTTTATTCAGTGTGAAAACTAGAAAGAAGAGATAAGAATAACAAAAGTACATCTTCACTAAAGAAGAACAAGTGGAAGAAAATCAAAATTTCTATAAACACAAAATCAAAACAAAACTAGAAATCATAATAAGTTGTTAACACACTATAATCTGTTCTTGTAATGACACGTTTGATTTGAAATTCTTCGATTTGAAATATCGATGTTCAAATCACACGACGACACAGAAGAGATGTGAATGTTGAACATATTAAGTATACGAGCTTTACCGGAGATCTTAGTGTAGGTAGACACCGGCAAGCTTCCACTGATGACATCACTATAAACATCTAAATTCGTCAGCAACCGATCGGCAAAAACAGTGAGCGTGAGATTCAATCGCTTCGTATCATCGGAACCAATCTCGCCGGCGGGAATCGGAACTTCACCGACGTCTTGGCCTTTGTACAGGAGAATCGCTGAGCTGTTTCGGTACTTGACACCGACCTTGTTAGGATTTTTAATCGAGATGTCAAGGTCGAGGGAGATGTTTAATGAAACCCTAGGCGGAAGGAGGTTAACAGAGACATCGAAATCGCTGATGGCGATGGAGTTGACGGAGGTGACGGGTTTCTTGGCTTTGAAGACGGTGAGAGCCAGGATCAGAATGATTAAAGCAAGGAGAACTATAACGGCGATTACCGATAGACAAATGCATCTCCGGCGTTTGCGTTTCCGGCGGTGTTTGTCGTCGGCGATGATGGTTGTGAGTGGCTGTTCATCTTTTTTCTCGACATCCATGTTTTTTGTTGAGTTGTAAAAATTTCAAAGTTAGAATTAAATATTTAGGGATAGGAATTGTTGACGAAGGGTTTGGGAATTTAATGGAAGATCGGTTAACGGTTGGGTGTTTTGGCTCCATACTTTTACTTTTGTGTATTAAATGCAAATAGAAAATAATTTATTTTTATTAATTTGTTTTTTCTGTAATTAAGAATTTTAGTTTGGAAAATTAGGTAATTTAAATAAAAGATATTTATATAACATGTCATCATTGGATACTTATTGTGACTATAAATAAAATATTTAATAAAAAAATTTGATAGGAGCATTGCCAGCTGAAAAGAATCTTATAAAAAGAAACAGTCAAACGTTATTAGAGGGAGATTAATGGACCACAAAAGAACTATGAATAATCTTGTTTGCATTTTTTTTTGGGATTGCAATTTTTTCAACAACTTAATAAATATTTTGCAACAAATAAACAAAAATAAATGAAATTTAAATACATCAATTATTAATTAGGAGAGCATGTGGACGTC